GTTCTTCAGTGTAAGCTGAAGGTGGTTCTAGATCTGTTTAAACTGTAGCGAACTCTTCAAGGCGCAGCTTCTTAGAGCTCTGCTGATGTTTTTTTAAGTGATAAATATATACTGAGGGTTCTCATGCACGCGCGCGCTGCTACGTCACGCCCCTCCCCCCTCGGGTTACTGTCGTTCATGACCTCTGGTGTGAGTTCACGCGCCACACCGTCTGACCCGAACGGGCGAATCAGAAGTTCTGCGCGCTTGTGTGACTCCTGACAGCCAATCAGCGCCGAGCACAGCGGAAACCTGGATGTTGCCGTGCGCGTGCAACACACACACACACACACACTCTGTTTCCTGACTCTGAGTGTGTGTGTGATGTAATGTCTATAATCTCTCCAATGGTGGTTTATTACATATGAGAGTCTGTGTTTACATGTAAGTTTGGTTTTAAGGGGAACTCCACCAATTTTCCCAAATTCTCTCCATAATTAAACAGTTAAGATGTGAACAGAGTCGTTCAGAGCGGTTTGCTTTGTAGATAAACTCAGAGTCAGAACTGTTCACAGTGGTGGTGATAGGAACCAGACGTCCACTAAAAGCTCCCTCACAGAAAGTTACTACATGAAATGGTTATGAATTCCCTGCCTGATGACTGAGACACTGTTTTAAGATAGTTTTGAGAACTTTTCATGGTGGAGGGATACATACAGGGCGCTGTGAGGCTATATAGTCCCCAAACAAAACTTATTATTCCAGATTTTCCACTATTTCACCATCATTAACATCCCATATAAAACTCAGAAGACTCGCGTAGGTTCACTGGTGGTTTTGGATAGTAAATAAAATGTCTGTATTTGTGTTGTAGTCATGGCGACCCCTGGTTCCTATCACCACCACCGTAAAGACTTCTGAACCATTTCACACCAAACCACTCTGATTACATCTCACACACTCAGTTATGGGGGAATTTTGGAAATATGGTGGAGTTCCCCTTTCAACGTGTCCCAAACAGAGAACCATGGGCATCTATGTGACACACACTGAATACAGAGTTTCACTCCAGTTAATGTCGAGTGTGTGTTTAAACGAGTGGTGGAACACTGAAGCTGCGCCCCCCCTCTGGTGGTGGGTGAAGGTACTGCACTCCAAATCACCTCCGGTCAATATTAAATACTGAGCAGAAATTAGAGGCCCCCTCACTTATTTAATATCCAAACACTCGTTAAGTACGAGTTATCTATTTTGTCAGTGTGAGAAGAAAAGCAGAATATCGTTGTGTTGAAAGAAAAACAAGCATTTTCAAAACTGCAGCTTCACAGGAGAGGAAAAAATATTTAATTTTAATGTGAGTTGCTGTAAAAAGATTTTATTCCAAGCCATTTTGGATAATTTCTGTTGGTCCATTCATCACGAAATTTTCACATTAAGACCATTAAGGACATTAAGGGCAGCTGCTGTGTTTCAATGATGAATGAAAATGAAAAAAAAAGAACAAAAAACTGCGATTAAACAGAAAATTATCCAGAATCCTCAACAGCTAAGTCTGATCTCAGCTGTGTGAGTGTGAGTGTGTCACTCTTTTCAGGAGACTCACTTTCAGTTCCTCAAGTAAACCTGCAGACACACCTCCAAAGTTTTACAACAGTCTTAGAAGCTGGTTGATCATTTTCTGAAGTAATCAAACTCATTCAGTGATGTTGAGGTCTGGACTCTGGGGTGGTCAGTCCATTGTTCAGCTTCTTTGTTTGATGTGTCCGTCTCCTTTTCTCAGTGAGGTTCTTTTTCACAGCTACACATCCTTTCAGACCCACAGCGCTGAGTGGTCTTCTCACAGTGGAAGGATGGACAGAAACACCTGTGGATGTTTTCAGATCTGAAGCAGCTTGATTTTCTCCTCTCTCTCAGAGATGAAAGCTTTAAGTGCTGTTTATCTGATGGGGGCAGTTTTGGTGTCTACCAGGTCTTCCAGGTGGTTGTTAGGAGTCCAGCTTTTTATATATCTCCAATTTTGGAAACTTTGACCTTCTTCATTATGCATGTGGATTATTTTCTATCTGATCTCAGAAACATCTGAAAAATGAATAACTTGTACTAAACGGATGTTTTGACTAAATTAAAATAATGACGGTCTCTGACTTTGGCAGAGTGCTGTATATTATACACCGATCAGGCATAACATTATGACCACCTCCTTGTTTCTACGCTCATTGTCCATTTTCTCAGCTCCACTTACTATATAGGTGCACTTTGTAGTTCTACAGTTACAGACTGTAGTCCATCTGTTTCTCTGCATACTTTGTTAGCCCCCTTTTACCCTGTTCTTCAGTGGTCAGGACCCCCGTGGACCCTCACAGAGCAGGTACTATTTGGGTGGTGGATCATTCTCAGCACTGCAGTAACACTGACGTGGTGGTGGTGTGTTAGTGTGTGTTGCGCTGGTCTGAGTGGATCAGACACAGCAGTGCTGCTGGAGTTTTTAAACACCTCAGTACCGCTGCTGGACTGAGAATAGTCCACCAACCAAAAATATCCAGCCAACAGCGTCCTGTGGGCAGCGTCCTGTGACCACTGATGAAGGACTAGAGGATGACCAACGCAAACTGTGCAGCAGCAGATGAGCTATCGTCTCTGACTTTACATCTACAAGGTGGACTGACAAGGTAGGAGTGTCTAATAGAGTGGACAGTGAGTTGACACAGTGTTTAAAAACTCCAGCAACACTGCTAACACACCACCACCACGTCAGTGTTACTGCAGTGCTGAGAATGATCCACCACCCAAATAGTACCTGCTCTGTGAGGGTCCATGGGGGTCCTGACCACTGAAGAACAGGGTAAAAGGGGGCTAACAAAGTATCAGAGAAACAGATGGACTACAGTCTGTAACTGTAGAACTACAAAGTGCACCTATATAGTAAGTGGAGCTGATAAAATGGACAATGAGCGTAGAAACAAGGAGGTGGTCATAATGTTATGCCTGATCGGTGTATACACACACACACACACACACACTCTCTCTCTCATATAACACAGACAACAGTTGAAATGATTATTTTATATGAAAGACAGCAATAAAAAATCAGATTATGATGTTTTATATGAAAGAAAATGTACAGACACTCAGATCAGCAGAAATGAAACCATAAACGTGCAACTAAAGAACGGAGGCACTTCAAACTGCACATCACACACAGCGATAACACAGAACAGGTTCTGCAGCACGACACACAGAACTCAGCCAGAGAGGCTGATCTATTTCAATGTTGATGGAGTTGATTCTCTTCTACAGTCGACGGTTCTGCTGAACTGAAGATCTGCGTTTGTTTTTAATTCAAATCGTTTTTTTACAGCATCTTTAACCAGCAGCTGTTCGCGCTCCAGACAGACACGACCTTTAAAAGGCCAGTTTCAGTATTTTCAGTGAGCAGTGAGAGCGGTTCTACAGTCTGGTTCTACAGTCCGGTTCTACAGTCTGGTTCTACAGTCCGGTTCCACTGCGCTGCTGTCTGTAAGCAAAACAGTCATTTAGCGTAATTAGCTGTAAATATTACTTTGACAGTGTCTGATTGGGTGGTTTTGTTTACTGAATTGTTGCCAGGGGAACATTAAATTCACATTTTTATCAAATTGCACACTTTTTTTTTTGTTTAACAGTTAAAGTTAGTTATGCTAGTGCTAGCTATGCTAACCATATGCGAATGTGTTTTTTCCCCCGGAATCCAGAACTTTATAATAATTTATCATCAGTCACTCAAGTTTTGGTCAAACCTGCAAAGAAAAGCAGGACTCTGAGGAAATTCCCTCCAAATTCACAACAACAGTGTTTCTCTCATCATTAGTGACGGATTCTCTCCAAACTGCACACAATCAGCGTCTTCAAACATTCATTCAATAAAGAGGCAAATAAAGCAAAACAGACATTATTATTATTATCATTATTATTATTATTAATATTATTTTAAACCAGGAATTATCACCTTCTTAAGTCCCTATATAATAATATCTAACTGTCTACCTTCTAATTTAATGCATTATAAATGCGCAAACAAACCTCAGTGGCTGTAAATGAGAGTAAAATGAGTCCAGAGCTGAAAATCACTCAGATTTTACCCCAAAACTGCACAGATTAGCGTTTAATCTGCTCTAATCCGCTCATTACGGCCTCATTAACTCATTAATAATCCCATCATGAAGGTAAAACCGTTCTGGAGCCGTAAACTCAGTGCAGGATCACAGCCAGCGACAGTCAGATTTGATATTTTAATTTTAAGGCATTTTTAGAGAATTTTTAAATAACACCTCCCACAAAAAACAAACCAAACAAAATAAAAGTCCAGCACTCGCGAGGAAACAGGCTGCCGCACGCCGACCGAGTCAGGAGGACAAACTGCAGAGCTGAGAATCACTCGTCACCTCCATCACTGAACTGGGTTAAACTCACAGCAGAAGACACGGAGCTCAGACAGACAGACAGACAGACGGCCAGAAAGACGGACAGACAGACAGACTACGGTCTCTAAGATTAACAGGCCTCAGATAACGTTACTAACATAGAAACATCGTTGAGACGAGATCGTAAACAAACTTTCACATGCTGTTGCTATGGTATCAAAGGTGGATGCTAAGGTGTTGCTACACAGCTCTACACTGCCCTCTGGTGGAGTACAGACTTCAGACTCAGCTCTGAGCTGCCCTCTGGTGGAGTACAGCGTTCAGACTCAGCTCTACGCTGCCCTCTAGTGGAGGATAGAGTTCAGACTCAGCTCTACACTGCTCTCTTGTGGAGTATAGACTTCAGACAAGGCTCTACACTGCCCTCTGGTGGAGTACAGCGTTCAGACTCAGCTCTATGCTGCCCTCTGGTGGGGTAGAGAGTTCAGACTCAGCTCTACACTGCCCTCTGGTGAAGTAAAGTGTCCAGACTCAGCTTTACACTGCCTTCTGGTGGAGTACAGCGTTCAGACAGCTCACGGTTCTTTAATATGAGAACATATATGCTAGAGAGACACAATTTTTTTTTTATTTAAATGTACAATTGTAAATAACTAACTATTCGCATATTTACTAATTCTAACTCATCTCTCAATAAAATCTGATTTAAAGCTGTTCATTTTTACAGAGCGACGAATCTGAACTCATTCCGGTCGTTTAATTCCTCACTGTTTGCGCGAACACGTATTAACTAACAGAACAGTTTGATGAAGGGTTTCCTGATGCTAATCCTGCAGTTTCACTCTGAATATTTGACTGTTTTACTCCTGATTTAACTCATCAGTTATAATCATAATAATGTGCTTAATGCTGTGTTTGGGTAGGAAAATCAAACATGAACATTAGGCTTACAGTATTTGCTGGAATTCCAGAACATTCCTTCAGTCTGGACTGAATTTTAAACAGATGCCATTGGATGGTTTGTACTGCAGTGACATTTTGTGACTGAAATCATCTTAAATCTAGTCAGTCCACACAATATTTCCTATTATGAGTCTGTTGTTAGAATATGAGATTATTCTGCTTATTTCTACATATTTTTACTTCAAAAGAAGAGAAATGAGAAATGATCAAGAGAAACGATCTCATTCCATCTGCATAAACACTTTTTCTTGAAACGTACATCATGGAATATCATGAAAAACATATTTTTTAATAAATAAGTTTGATGCAATATGTAAACAGTAAAAATGGAATCATCATAATATTGTAAGAGTCGTCTCGTAATGAAATATTAAATATGCTGAGTAGATTTAAAATCGATTTTACTCGCTAATATTTTGTGTAAATGCAGAAGGCTCAGTTCAGTGCTAGCTTTAGCTGGAGAGCGAAAAAAGGCTAATCAGAGCTAAAAATGAGGGTTCTGCTTTAACTAAACTCGTTCTGAAGCGTTCTGGACTGTTCCACACTAATGACGGAGAACAATGCTACAGGAGAACACAGTAAAAGCAGCGGTACATTCAGCTCATCAGGACAGATTAAACAGATTTAAACCACAAAAACGGAAATTCACTTTTAATCCACAAATTCAGAAAATAAAATCGTTTCTACTCTTGGATTAGTTGTTCTAGATACATTCAGTCACTTGTGACACGGTTTCATCTTAAATGTGTTTGTCTAACAAAATTCGGCTTCTTTTTCCAATTTCCTGTTTCTCCTTAAATGGTGAGCAGCTACGTTCTGGTGTCTGAGGATAACAAAAGCTGACAAGCTGGTTTTGAGGACGTGGACTAGTCTAGTCTTGGACTAAACTGCAATAAAAAAGGTGTCATCATTAAAATATGAAATATAGTCGAAGCTCTGGCTCAACTTTGAGGAGAAATCCACAGATTGTTTAAAAATTCTGCAGTAAGTGTTAAAGAAGATCAAATCAAGCCGTGTACGCTGCTCATCTTCAGTGAAATCAGCTTAAATCTATTCAATATATGTAATATTTCTCATTATTTGGTTCAAAACATAGTTCATCATGATGAAAGGTAACAAAAAATGTACATATTTATTAAATAACCTTATAATATCGTGCCGTCTCGCTACGCTACAACAGTCTTAATCTCCCAATGAGAAATATTATATATACACTCACTAAATTTCAGATGGTTTCACTTCATGAAGACGTGTTCTGCCGTGTGGATGTGAATACAAAGTACCTGAACTCAAAGGAACAGTTCCACAGTCCAGCTCCCGTTTGGAGTGTTATCTTTCAAGCTTTACCTTCTGGAGTGGACGCTAACTGCCGTTCTCCTTCACGAAACCTCAAACAAACCTTCAGTCAACCTTACACAAACGTGCCAGCAGCCAAACGTGCTCCCGAATCTGTGAAGAACACACTGAACCATCATTCAGTCACTTTAACACAACAACTACAGCTACCGTCACCACATCAACACCAGCACGGAACACACTCCTCTCAGACCGGGACGCCACTCGGCGTCTTTCTTTGGGAAGAGAGAAGAAAAATGATAACAAAAAAAAATAATAATAATAAATCAGAGTGTATCTGCATCCCGGAGCATCGGTATATTAATCATCATCAAAGCAAAGTTCATCCACAGATAAAAAAAAACAAAACAAAAAAAACCCCAATATAAACATGTCCGTATCTGATCTTGTGTGTGTTTTTCTGCGATTAATACTGCGATGGGGGGCTGGTGGTCTGGCGGGTTAGACCCCCAGCTTGTTGCCGATGGTCATGAGCACTTTGAGGACAGGCATGAAGGCTGAGATCTCGCTGAAGTTGCTGCTGCTGACCACCTGCGTGTGGAGCTCCAGAGCCCGCTGGTAGTTTCGGGCTGACACGCAGCGGCTGATCTCGTGCAGGCCGGACAGGATGCTGGGGGACAGCTGGGGGACAGGAACCAAACAGAGGCGTCAAATTTATCAGGACTGTCTAAGTTATCGTGGGGCTAAACCACTGTAGGCTGAATGGGCGGGGCTTAACTGGTGTAGGCTGAATGGGCAGGGCTAAACTGCTGTAGGCCGAATGGGTGGGGCTAAACTGCTGTAGGCCGAATGGGTGGGGCTTAACTGCTGTAGGCCGAATGGGCTAAATGAGTTGGTTTTCATGACATCACAGCTGAAGCAGATGCTTCACAGGTGAAGCCCAGCTGCAGTGCTGTGTGTTGCTCTGATAGAAGCCCTGATTGTAGATCTCTGGTTCAAATACAGCTTTTAAATATCTTTTAAAGCAAAGATTTTAAAGCTCTGCTGCTGGTTTTTAAAGCTCTAAATGACCTTAAAGCTCCTGAGTGTCTGTTTATGATCTTAGATCTGCAGATACTGAACTTCTGAACACCTTCAGTAAAATATAGAAAACATGGAGAGACTCTTTCAGTTATTCTGCTTCTAAACTGTGGAGCTCAGTTCACCTTTTATTAGACAGTCGAGCTCAGAGCTCACTTTTAATAAACTTAATAAACATGTGACTTAACAGCTCTTTAACTCAGTGCTTTGTTAAAACTCTACGGCTCTTTGGTCTTTATCTGTGTAATCTGATCTGTTTTACTGTCTTAGACGATTTTAAATTACTCATAGTTTCTTCTGTTACTGTTAAGCTTTATCACCTGTCTGTAAAGCACTGTGAGCTGCCACCGCCATAAAAATGCTCTAAAAATAAAAATTCTTCTTCTTATTATTATTAATGCAACAAATCACCTTTATATTTGTCATATTTTACTGTTTACCATTTACTGTATGTACTGAAGTCATGGAGAGCTGTACTTTTACACCTGACATACTGCTACAACTGACTTTCCCTTGGGAGATTAATGATGTTCATCTCATCTCATGGTTTGTTTGCTGAAACAGAAGCTGGTCTCCTCACCGACTGGTCTCGGAGTTTGTCATACAAGCTGCCGATTCGTTTGGAGGCATCATCCAGCTTCCTTTTAGTTTGCTGGAGAAGAGAAACAGAGTCACGGTAAATAGTCACAGCTGGACTCTGTAACAGTGAGCAGAGAGCATTAATCAATGAAGTTCATATACAGACTGAAGCAGCTCTGCTCGTCTCTAAAGCTGAACTAAACCGTCTAGAGCAGCCTGGCTGGAACTACAGGACTATAAAATATTAACTGCTGTTAAAACACATAATGGCAGATTCCACTGGTTCTGTTTGTCCTCTGTTGTCCTTTAGAGTCTGTGTCATTGCATCAACACCTCCTGGGTCGACATGACCGGTCGATCAGAGGGCATCAGACTGGATTACAGACCAGAGGACAATCGTTTAAGGCCTTTCTGAAATCAGGACACCATAAAATCAGCCTCAAAATCAGCCTGATTATCCTGCAGTGTGTCAGGAATAAACCTGTTTTATGCACAGGCTTAAAGGTGAACTTTGATTCTGGTCACATTGAAAAACGCAGCTCAAGTGATTTAAAACTGCTGTAAATTTGCTGTGTTCTGTCATTATTATGAAGATGATATGGCTGCTTATTAAAACCCAGAATAAGACAGTCTATTATTGATTGATTGATTCTGAAAGTGGTACCAAATAAATCATACTTGCTTTTAGTATTGTGATCCAACTGTCATTATTATTATTATTATTATTCTTTGTAGAAATGATTATATGAGTGTGTATATGTACCGGGTCTGTAGCTGCGAGCTGACAGCGCTGCACTAAACTGTCGAAGGTGCTCTTCAGGATCATGTGCTCCGCTGGAATCTCCTTCTGCTCCACTCGCTCTGCAGGAAGCTGCTGAAGAACCTCAACACACAAACAATCCAGATTCAATTTCACCAAACCGCACATCAGATATCAGACTGTTACATAAACACAATCCAGACTATTACAGTCTGTTATAGAGTCTGGATTGTGTTTGTGTCGGTGTAACAGTCTGTAATAAACACTAGAGCACAGAAACCTCAGGAATTCATATGAGAATTAAAAAGTACACGACACTGTCTGTCTCTCTGTGTTACCTGTGTTTCTCTCACCTGTAGGCTGGGCTCCTGGGGGGCTCCAGGAGGGACCTGCACTCTGTCCTGAGGCACAGCGCCCTCTGCAGGTAGGCTCATGACAGGGGCAGTGATGGGAGCAGGAGGTGTGTATTCTCCAGCAATCTGGAAAACATCAGTGTTTTACATCAACACGTTACAGTAAAAACAGAGCTTTACAGCCTGGAATACCAACAGACACTGTACTGCTGGGTATTAGACAGTAAACGAGATATTAGTGAGCTTAGTGTGAGCTAGTGAAATGTGACGAATAAATAATAAAAATTATTATTATTATTATTATTATGTGTTAGTTATTGAGTTAAACTATGTGTGTTAACTTAGTGAAAATACTGAAATGAAAACAGTCTTAAAGTGACCTGATGATGTGGAGGAACCAGAACATGATCACTCTTACCTTTTTACTTCTGGGTCCGCCGCGAACAGCAGGAGGATCATTCCAGCCATCATGAGCACCTGGAACAGGAAACACAGGAACAAATCAGCCATTAAGAAACTTTAGCTTTTATTCCTGCATTTATGTGGACAGATAATCCAAACAATGTAAATGTGGCTAAAAAATTATGTTGTCATGCTGACAAGATGAGCTTTTCGTCATCTTTAGCCATATTAGCATTGTTTGTTGGAGAGTCTTCTCCTCCAAATAATGACGGACAGCTGTGTCTCCGCTCTCGCACTCTGTGGGCTGTTAATCTCCAACAGCACCATTTAATATACACCGATCAGGCATAACATTATGACCACCTCACTGTTTCTACGCTCATTGTCCATTTTATCAGCTCCACTTACTATATAGGTGCACTTTGTAGTTCTACAGTTACAGACTGTAGTCCATCTGTTTCTCTGATACTTTGTTAGCCCCCTTTTACCCTGTTCTTCAGTGGTCAGGACCCCCATGGACCCTCACAGAGCAGGTACTATTTGGGTGGTGGATCATTCTCAGCACTACAGTAACACTGACGTGGTGGTGGTGTGTTAGTGTGTGTTGCGCTGGTCTGAGTGGATCAGACACAGCAGTGCTGCTGGAGTTTTTAAACACCTCAGTGTCACTGCTGGACTGAGAATAGTCCACCAACCAAAAATGTCCAGCCAACAGCGTCCTGTGGGCAGCGTCCTGTGACCACTGATGCAGAACTAGAGGATGACCAACACAAACTGTGCAGCAGCAGATGAGCTATCGTCTCTGACTTTACATCTACAAGGTGGACTGACAAGGTAGGAGTGTCTAACAGAGTGGACAGTGAGTGGACACAGTGTTCAAAATCTCCAGCAGCACTGCTGTCTGATCCACTCAGACCAGCACAACACACACTAACACACCACCACCACATCAGTGTTACTGCAGTGCTGAGAATGATCCACCACCTAAATAGTACCTGCTCTGTGAGGGTCCATGGGGGTCCTGACCACTGAAGAACAGGGTAAAAGGGGGCTAACAAAGTATCAGAGAAACAGATGGACTACAGTCTGTAACTGTAGAACTACAAAGTGCACCTATATAGTAAGTGGAGCTGATAAAATGGACAATGAGAGTAGAAACGAGGAGGTGGTCATAATGTTATGCCTGATCGATGTAAAGCTCGTGAAAACTCTGCAAAGCTGAAGTAAAACTTTACAGCCATGCTGAAATGGTGCAGCACCGGCCCACACGCCGCTCAGAGCTCAGTGTTAGCATGCTAGCAGCGCTTCGTCTCAGTGAGCAGCTCATCATCTAACTCTGCACTCATCTGCTAGCTTTCCCTCCAAAGCGAACACACAGATCTCTGTCACCTTCTTCCTCTCTATGTGATCTGATCCAGAGGAAACCGCCTGCAATTAAACACCACAAATTAACCAATCAAATCTGAAACAAACACCCACAGCGTCACACTAAACCCACATTTACCCCTTTAGCACAGTGCTAACTGCATTCCTAATGAAAACTAGCACAGAAAGGGAGTTTGATGTTTTGGCTCTGAAAGCCGGACAGTAAACCTGGAGAGGGGCGCTGAGGTGAGCAGGTTACCTGTAGGAGGTGGAGGAACAGATGGACTGTAGGTTTTAGCTCCAGGTGCTCCGGGTCCTCCCTGTGGGTATCCCACCCCCGGGGGTGGGTAAACTGTGCCTGTGGGTGGGGGTGCAGTGCCCAGAGGAGGGGGGGCAGCGGCCTGTGGCCCTAATGGCCCTGAGTACATGGGCACTGGCCCCCCGGGAAGAGAGCTGGGGGGCAGAGGGGGCAGGGAGGCAGCAGGCAGGAACCCAGGTGCCGGAGGAGTGGGCATCATGGGCACAGAGCCGGGCACAGAGCCTGGCACCATACCCCCTGGAGCAGAGGACAAGGGGGGCACAGGACCAGACAGGCTGGAAGGGGGGAACACCAGGGGCCCCCCTACAGGCTGGGAGGGTGAAAAACCTAAGAGAGAGAGAAAGAGAGAGAGAGAGAGAGAGAGAGAGAGATAGCAGGTTAAAGATGAACTGACAGACAACTGATCAACTAACTGATGGTAAAACTGAAGGGCAAAGTGATGGACAAATTGATCAAGGGACTAACAGAAGAACTGATGGAGGAACTGAATGGCTGGTACCTGGAGCTGCAGCAGGGTATTGTGGGTAGGAATGTCTGCTGGCTGGGCGGGGCACTCCTGGTGTGTGAGCAGTGGGTTGAGCCTGGGGTGTGAACACGGGGGGCATCGCTGGCTGACCTGCCCGGGGCATCTGAGGGGGCATTGCAGGAGGGAACGGCTCCTAGGAAATACAACAGAACATATTACAACATCTCCAAACAGAACGTTGTCAGGAGAACGTTCTCCCAGATTACATCACTTGATACTGTGAGCTGAATTTCGGACCTCCCCCCACTCGCCCCCCGATGACGCATTTACAGCGTTTTTGGACTTTATCGCCCTCCGGTCGTTACACCATTCTTCATTTCGAAACAGAAACAGTTTCCAACCCTGCCAGCGTGGACGGGGCAATCTGACAACATCAGACGGTCAATCTGTCCAATGCTGATGCCAGCCAGGAGAAAGGTCAAGAACTGGGCTCTGAGGTCATCCAGAAACACCTCACTCTGCACATACAGCAGTGAACTGGAGTAACCGTAACTTGAGCTCTATTAGATCTGCTTTAGCTTCAGCTACGGTTCTGTAGTTTAAAAGATCAGCGATTTATATCCAGTATGAATCTGCAGTGTGTGTAGTTTTACAGTCTGACAGTAATAATTGTGGAGCTCTGCTCTGAAAATGATTCATATCTGCCAGTGATGCGGTCACCACGGTAACGGTGCTATGGCTGCATGTCACTCAGTCAGGTAGCGCTCTGGGGCACAGAGCAACATGCTGTTTCAGTGCCATCAACGCAGCGTCTCAGCCTCCTCTGTGTGGAGGAACAGATCTCCCTCAACAAGTCAGACTGTGAGAGAAGCCTCAGTTATTACAGTGCTGCCCCCTGGAGGACATATAGGGTAAACTGCTGGAGGAACTGTAGGAACCCTGCTGTGATGATGATGATCTTACCTGTGGCGCTGCTGTGTGTGTGTTAGCGGGGGCAGATGTAGCATCCCCAGCTGGAGCTTTAGGGTGATGAGGCTGAGCTGCTGCACCCTGAGCATGAGACAGACGCTCCCTCAACATCTGGACTTCAGCCTGTGGAGAGGGGAAAAGAGAGAGAGAGAGATGCTGAGGTGCTCAGATAAAACAACACCACCAACATACATATATATATATATATATATATATATATGTTTTATTAAAAAAACTGTTTTTTTATTAACTGATTGAGTGTATTGATTTTATTTGATTTGCTCATTAAACATCTCCAAGAGAAAGTCTGAGTGTTTGTTGATTACGGAGCTGTTTAGTCACGTTAATTGGAGGTTTACATATTTTTCTATGATGTTGGTTTCTTCACTGGCAGCTTCTTTTTCCAAATGTGTTCAACGTTCCTGAGTGTAACTGCTGCAAATTCAAGGTGAAACAGAAAATTATAATAAGCTATTAGAATAAGAGGCTGACCAGCTAAATTGAGTTTGTTATTTAAGAGCTTTGGCAGTTTTGTAGCCACTTTTATTGGTTTTTATAAAATATCATACACTGCAATGTTCTGAACTCTGGAGAACTACTGGAACAGAGCGGAGCCTTCTTAATGATGCAATCAAACACTATTAATGTGCTTTACTGTGAACATGTGTGTTACAGTGTCTGACACAGAGCTCTTCCCTTCAGTGCAGGATCAGGTAGTTTGAGTGTGCCGGTCTCCGTGGTGTTTTGTCGTAGATGATCAGTCAGACAGTACCACACACATAACGAACACCCAACACCCCAAATCTCACCGTGATCATGATATACGTGATGTAAACAAAGCTGTACTGAACCAGTTTCTCCTTCCTGAACACTAAAGAAGAGGAAGCTCAGTCTGTGGGTGAAGATGCAGTTAAAAACACTCAGAACTGGAGAAACACTGGACAGTTCATGTTGTTGCCCTCTAGTCCTTTATTAATTGTCAGTTTCTGACCACAGAGTTGCTCTTGTCTGAATATTTTTGGGTGGATGGTCCATTCTCAGCCCAGCAGGTCCACCTCCCATATATCACCTGGACAGCAATCCTGTGGTCAGAAACTGGCGAGTGAAGAACGAGGCAGTAACAGATGATCTGCAGTCTGTAACCAAACATCTGCACAGTTGAGCTATAAAGAAGGGGTTTCTGATAAAGTGGCCAGTGAGTGGATACAGATATCCGCGTGTGTGTGTGTGTGTGTGTGTACCTGCTGCGATGTATGCGGTAGGTAACTCAGTGCCGTCTCCAGGCTGCCCTGATTAGCCAGTATGTTAGCATAATGGATGAGTTTCTCCTCCAGAACTGAGCTCTGCACTGTAACTTCACTGTTCCTCAGACGCTCGATAGACTTCCTCAGAACCATCACCTTCTCCACCAGGTCCTACAGAGAACACACACACACACACACACACACACACACACAGAAACACTTACTGTAATGAAGAGTTTCACATTTGTGTTGTCCTGATAAAGAGAAACAGATTCATGAAAACTGCTTTAATAATCAAAAGTGCCACTGCAGGCTAAAACAACGTCAGCTAACTCTGCATTAACTCACTCTGTGTTAGGTAAGTTTGCATATGCTAACTCTACAACTGCTAAACTCTGGGGCTCATAGAAAAATCTGTTTCCCACTAGTAAATACAACATTGGCGCTTATGTGCACTCATAAATATGTTTGTGATACGACTTGAAAGCAGCATTAGACCCAAAACCAATAACAGCTCCAGTTTAACCAGCTGCTCAGTGAAGTGTCTGCTGAATGTGTGTTTGTGTTTTTATACTGATATACGCCTTATATACTCTACAGTTCATTGTAATCTCAGTGTTTGCTTTGACCTGTGTATGTGTGTGTGTGTGTGTGTATATCCGGGTGTACCTCCAGGCTGAGGGGGGCATTACAGTCTCTCTGGGAGCTCCAGCACTCCACCAGTTTGTGGATGTTTCCAGAGCAGATGTAGCACAGACAGGCCTGCAGGCAGCGCTTCTCTGTTCCACCAACTTCTAACCGAGAACCCAGAGTGTCTACACACAACACACAACACACACAGTATCACTCTGAGTGAAATGATCTGTAATAGTCTAAATGTGAAAGATTATGAGCTGCAGATCTGCTTTATTCCAGCAGTAAGTCAGTATTACAGGATCAGACAGTTCGACAAACCTCATTACTCTCTTTAAAAGAGCTCATTTCCTACATTTATCCTTATTTAGATCCAAGCTTGAGTGGCTTTATAAACCAAAAAATCATAATTTATTCTACATGATAATTTACAAACGGTTCTTTATCCCTCAGGATTAGACAGACTGTTATATGTAAATGAACTCTGTTCTGATTGGCTGTCCTGTATTGTGCTTTATTCAAAAAGCATTTCAGCTGATATAATCCTTATAAACTGAGTGTGAATGTGTGGGGCTAAACTACAGTGGGCTGAATTGGTGGGGCTAAACTGCTATGGTTTGAATGGGTGGGGCTAACCAGCTGTAGGACGAATGGGTGGGGCTAAACTGCTGTAGGCTGAATGGGCGGGGCTAAACTGCCCTGGTTTGAACGGGTGGAGCTAAACTGCTGCAGACTGAAAGGGTGGGGCTAATCTGCTGTGGTCTGAATGGGTGGGGCTAAACTGCTGTAGGCTGAAAGGGTGGGGCTAATCTGCTGTGGTCTGAATGGGTGGGGCTAAACCGCTGTAGGCTGAAAGGGTGGGGCTAATCTGCTGTGGGCTGAATGGGTGGGGCTGAACTGCTGTAGATTGAATGGGTGGGGCTAATCTGCTGTATGCTGAATGGGTGGGGCTAATCTGCTGTAGGCTGAAAGGGTGGGGCTAATATGCTGTAGGCTGAATGGGTGGGGCTAATCTGCTGTAGGTGGAAAGGGTGGGGCTAAACTGCTGTATGCTGAATGGGTGGGGCTAAACCGCTGTATGCTGAATGGGTGGAGCTAAACCGCTGTAGGCTGAATGGGTGGAGCTAAACTGCTGTAGGCTGAATGAGACTGCAGAAAAAGAGCAAAGCCTGTTCTCGGATCAGTCTAAAGCCCAATCTGAGCTCCGTTCCTACCACAGAGTGGAGCGAACTCCTCAGGGTTAGCGTAGGTCAGCAGTGCCGCTAAGGCCTCCTTCCAGTTGTCCAGCTCGCAGTCTTGCACAATGTCCTTCCAGTTCTGAGTGACCACTGACAAAATCAGCTACAGGACAAACAACACGAGCGTTAACACACAGAGAGGGTAAAACAGCGTTTAATGGGGGTGTAACGATTTTCCTAATCCACACTGTGGGGGTTCAAAAAATGTCTTTAACTCCTTGGGACCACCGGTGGTTCCAAAACGCACTTTGCCATATTCTTCATAACTTTCATATTTCATAAGCTACATTCAAAAGGTGGGGGTCGTATGAGAGCTGTAACTGTCTTCTTTCCAGTCAAATAGATGGGTAATGTAATTTTAAACCCTTATAATTAAAGAAGCTAAACTCACAATTTTTCTTGTCTACTGAAAGTCGACCCATTTTTCCACAAATCTGAGCTATAAACTATAAACAGATGGCGTCTCTTCAGTGATCTGCTCTGTAAAAATTATTTTTATAAAGAAATACAAAGAGCGTCTAAGATTTTTGGCTTTCAGCAGTAAATTGTAAGCAAATAGTAATATGTGTGATCATAAACACATGTTCTGTTAATCTGAGGGGGAGCTTTTACAAAAAATAAATGAATAAAAAAATTAAATTTATTTCAGGCAGTTACTGAATAATTTGTCTTATGATTTGGTACCATTGAGACCCTGTTGGTCTGTTTGTTGAGGTATAAACTCTAGAACAGTGTCGATGGTACCACTGAGACCCTGTTGGTCTGTTTGTTGAGGTATAAACTCTAGAACAGTGTCGATGGTACCATTGAGACCCTGTTGGTCTGTTTGTTGAGGTATCTCTGCTGAGTTTTCTTCAGGAGCTCCTCTCCTCCACTGATGGACAGCAGAATGGCCTCAGCGTAGCGTCCGTCACTCAGACACAGATCCACTGCCCCCTCAAAGTTCCCCACCAACAGAGCCTGGCTGATCAAACCGTCTGTGTCTACAGAGAGAAAATAGGTTCAATAAAAGTTCAATAAAAAGCTCCTGGACGGCTTTACTGCTGGTCAGACGTCTCACTGTTGAGCAGAAAATTCAGAAAGAACAACAAAGTCGTACAAACTTCAGCTTCTAAACAGCTTCTTATTGGCATTTTCTTCGATATAGTTTAATATCTGTGATTATTGTACAGATTTTAGTATTTGTAAAGGGGTTGTGAGTGAGTGTGTACCTGCAGACACTGGGATGTGGAAAGGTGTTTTCTCTTTCTGTATTTGGCTGAAAAAGTCAGTAGGTGGCGCTGCTGATTCACTTCCATCATCTGACCTCTGTAAAACACACATACACACAATACAGAACAGATACAAACACACATAACACAAACAACAAAGCCTTCACAGACACGGCCAGTTATAAACAGTGAACGGGATAAACGTTTAATACTTCATTAATAAGCCCATTACGACACACAAGGGTTTATAGCGAAATGCAACATTTAATTGATCATATCTAGGAACGCTAAAAGCTTTGTTGTATTTATGTGTGTGTGTACAGTAATTATTGGCAGCCTTTGTAAAGGTTGGTAATATAAAGGCAGTAAAAAATGTCTTTGGTTAATTAACTCAGTCTCACAGAAAACATGAGAGATCTAATCTTTAACTCAAGTTGATTCGATCTAAGAAAACAAAAACTCCAACAATTTTTTAAAAAAACAACATTTTCTGCAGTTATTGAACAATTTTTGTGTTAATAAATAGCATCATTATTACAGTAGATGATTTAAGTGTAAGGCTTACAGCTCTGCACACACACTCGCTCTTAACCTCAACCTCCGTGTGTTTTAGTGACGGCCAGCAGGTGGCGAGAGTGATTCATCTCACTGTGCTGAGAATACATTAACTTAAACAGCGCAGCTGCTGAAGAATTAAAAAATATATATAAATAAAACAGAAAACAAGCACGCATGAGTTTTACTATGCTCAAATTATTATAAAGTCCAGATCTCATTAGAACTATGGTTATTATTCATAGTAGTCGCAATCTGGAATCTGGGGGTACTACAGACCCCTCAGCACCTCTACTTCCTGTGTCCCTGCTGATCACCTAAAACAGTGAAATATAAATGTGAACATGTTTCAGCTACACTTTCTTCATAAGAGTTTCTATCGGTGCCGATAACTAAGACGTGTTTTTGCTGTAACATATTTTTAAAGTTTTTTTGTCTTCTTTCAATTAAAGATCAGATTTCTCATATGTTCAGTGAGTCTGAACTGATTAACCACAAGAACCCATCTTCACCAGGGGTGCCAATAATTATGGAGCTGAGCATGTGAGTCAAGTCTGTGATGCAGTGTGTGTTCTGTGTTTCATATCTCCAGGTTTTGAACAGGAGATCTTTCCTCTCCTGATGATGACGATGGTGATGATGATGATGATGATGATGATGGTGATGATGGTGATGAAGACCATGTACAGGAGGTGCAGTGAAGCTGAGACTGACCTGAGCTGAGAGCGTCTGCATCTTCTCCGCCAGGTCATTAACGTCCAGCGCGTGTCCGTTCGGCTGTAGCTTCTTCCCCAGACAAGAGGAGATCTGTCACATCACATTAACACCAACAGATCAACCATCCAGAAACAGACCGTCCACCAAACATTTCACCGCTGCAGGTCACACACTTCACACTCGGCCACTAAACACACAGAGATCTGTGTTTTTATCGGGATGCCAAATGATCAAAATAAAGAATCGTGATTATCCATGTTTGTCTTATTCGCTCTAATTAGACTCTAAATGATTTGTTCCCATTTATAAAGCAGACGCTCTGTTTCAGCTGTATGAATAATCAGCTTCCTCACATTATACATTACGACCACCTCCTTGTTTCTGCGCTCATTGTCCATTTTATCAGCTCCACTTACTATATAGGTGCACTTTGTAGTTCTACAGTTACAGACTGTAGTCCATCTGTTTCTCTGATACTTTGTTAGCCCCCTTTTACCCTGTTCTTCAGTGGTCAGGACCCCCATGGACCCTCACAGAGCAGGTACTATTTGGGTGGTGGATCATTCTCAGCACTGCAGTAACACTGACACTGTGGTGGTGTGTTAGTGTGTGTTGCGCTGGTACGAGTGGATCAGACACAGCAGTGCTGCTGGAGTTTTTAAACACTGTGTCCACTCACTGTCCACTCTATTAGACACTCCTACCTTGTCAGTCCACCTTGTAGATGTAAAGTCAGAGACGATAGCTCATCTGCTGCTGTACAATTTGTGTTGGTCATCCTCTAGTCCTTCATCAGTGGTCACAGGACGCTGCCCACAGGACGCTGTTGGCTGGATATTTTTGGTTGGTGGACTATTCTCAGTCCAGCAGTGATACTGAGGTGTTTAAAAACTCCAGCAGCACTGCTGTGTCTGATCCACTCAGACCAGCGCAACACACACTAACACACCACCACCACGTCAGTGTTACTGCAGTGCTGAGAATGATCCACCACCTGCTCTGTGAGGGTCCATGGGGGTCCTAACCACTGAAGAACAGGGTAAAAGGGGGGCTAACAAACTGTCAGAACTGCGTTGTTACATCACTAATAAACAACGTATACATACTGATCTTATAGTCTAGACCTCTCAGACACATCAGACTGAATAGGAACACTGAGTACGCGTGATCAGAACAGGAGATATTTAGTTATGACTTGAATTTCTTGACCGATAAAAGTAAAGAATTATTGACTCAAACGTGAATCAAATTTAAAAGAAATGAATTAAATAACTCTTATTAACTAGTGAATCACGCCTAAATATTACGTAGATATAAAAGCAGAGTTCTGTACCTTTTTCTCCAGCTCGTCTTTACTGAATCCCAACAGCCGCAGGAACTTAACACGAGCCTCATCCTCGAAGTTCACCTGAAAACACAGACAGATCAAAACTTACACAGCAATAAAATACAATACAAATACATACAAATAATGTAAAATATGAAAATGTGCACAGATTCAGATGGAACAGACAGCGAGCGGGCGGATTTCTCTACTCATTTATGAAGTCGTTCCCCTTTTTATTGATTATAATTATGAGTAGCGAGAACCTGAGATCTACACTGTTAAAAAGATGGTTCTTCAAGGCTTCTTTAGAAAAGAAAATGGGTCTACATAGAACTATCAACACTCAGAGAACCCTTCACACGATTAAAGTGTTCTTTGCATCATTAAATGGTTCTTTGGATTGGTGGACAATGTGCTGTAGGTGGTTCTCTACATCGCCACAATAGAAGAACCTTTTTGATGCTACACAGAACCATACACAGCACATTCTCCATCAGTCTGAAGAACAATTTTATCATGCAAAGAACCACTGAGGGATGCAAACGGGTTCTTTGAGTGTTCATGGGTGTATACAGAACCATCTTCTTCTCTAAAGAACTCTTCGAGAACCTTCCTTTGTAAGAGTGTGCAGAAGTGAAGAGGATGATTTATTTGCGAGAAAAAGAGAGAAACGTGTTTAAAACGGTGTGAAACTACAGATCAATTAGAGTCAATTTAATACACTATATGTTGAAAATAAAAGGCTTTAATTTAAATAATATTATTTATTTTTTTCTATATTATTTTGTCTTATATCCTTCACGCTAACGGTGCTGCGGCGGCTGCTCTGCTGTGTTAAAGATGCTGTTTAAGGCGCTGCAGCTTCCCGTTAGTTGTTGTGTTGAAGTTCAGCTCAGCCTGAGCACAGAGTGTTTCTCTAAATGAAGAGTTGCTGCAGCTCCTCCTGCTTCATTTCTCACCATTATCTCACAGTATCACACTAAGGCTGAGAACTCAAGAGTGAAAGGGGCAATAAGTGATATGAATGACCAAACCAGTACATATAAAAGGTAACTTGTCTTCATTTCACAACGCTGATCCACCTGAGACGAAGACTCAAATTACTCTGCAGGTTTGTATGAACCATTTAATCGTGAGTAACCGCAGGTCCACACACGGGCAGCACCACGTTTAGATCACGTGACAGCCTGGAAAACCCGCCGTGGATTAAAAGATCAGTGTGCTCATTGTTTAAGGCTCTGCTAGTCTCTTTCTCACAGGTTATTCAACGCAGCACTGACAGGTGAGCTGCGAGTTACTGAACACTGAACAGACAAAGCGGTTATGGAGGATCATTGGAAACAATATAACACATGTAAATACGTTGATATTTAGGGCATCACTTTTTAGAGTGTGTGAGAACAGACGTCACATTCTGACCACACAGAATCAAGAAACAAGTTTCCAGTTTCCAGTAAGTGATCTCTGACTCTTTTGAGCAACACTGAAAACACAGTCGTCACCATCTAACAGGGGAGGGTGATTACCTCTCCACTACACCATGGGTCAGTATAGACCCTCTGTATCACCCCCCGCCATGGGGGTCGGTATAAAATTTTCAGACCACTGTAATACTGATCGTTTCATAAGTGAAAGTAAAAAAAACGCTCATTTCTCCTTTAAAGCGTCTCTGAGTGGCGCGTCTGAGCAGCAGAGCGTTTAGCCGACGTCACTGTCGTCTACGTGTGAAAGTGTTGTGTGATTATTAACTAATTACACAGCAGAGGATTCATATTTAGAGCGCTGACCAAATCAGAACACAGCGCTGTTACAGAGTTGAGTTTATGATCTGCAATTTTGTTTTGGTAATAAATTGTGATTTTTTCGATTTCAGTACTTTACAGTCAATTTTTGACTGATGCACATTTTCTGAATTCAGTATTTCGTCTTTCCATCGGGAGAAATGATTAACGACGCACTGAGAAAATGAATGAATTATGACATGATTATTTAAAAACACAAAATAATAATAATAATAACTATTGTTGGGATGTTTTGTTGTACAGTGCAGTTACCAGTAGGAACCTCCAGATGTCCTGCTCGGCCTCAGAGGGGGCGCTAGAGATCTTGTTGTGGCAGTAGCTGATGAAGGAGCCGGACTGCAGGGTGGCCTGGAGCTCCCGTGAGCGCTGGAGAAACTCCGCCTCCGTGATCACCTGACTCACATACACCTGCCGGGGGGGCTGGGGGGAGGGGGCAGGCTGGACAGACCTGGGGTTATCAAAGGTCACCAACTTACCACCAAACTGAGAGAGAGAGAGAGAGAGAGAGAGAGAGAGAGAGAGAGAGAGAGAGAGAGAGGTGATGCATTACAGTGGAAAGATAAGAAGCGACTCCAACTTTAATAAAAATAAAAAATTAAAATTGAATTAAATGCACGTCAAAGTCCCAAGTTAAACCCGAGAGGAGCTCCAGATCAAAGTGGGCAACTACTAATTCAAGACCTGAGTCAAAACCTGATTCAAGTCCAAATCCGAGATGGACAAGACCCGAGTCAAAACCCGTGAGTCAAGTCCAGAACCAAGTCTTGGCAGGCCAGTCCCGATTTGAGACCCGAGTCAAAACTCAAGCCAAAATCTGAGTCCACCGTCAGAAGAATCAGCCTCAAAGTGTTCACAGCAGACGCTTCCTTTCAGAAAAGCTCCTCTCGCTTCCACGATCCGCCATCAGAAGCTTCATTTAAACTGGATTTCAGTGAACGTGTGTTTTTGGACCTTCCTTAAATATTTTTAAACACTTCAAGACTTCGAGAAGCTTCTGGAAAATTCTGTGCTGTACGTACGGTGAAAGAGGCTCCGATGGGTCTGCGCTCCCACTTCGGTGGGGTCCTGAGGGGGGGGATGATGGTGGGGGCTGCGGTGGGCTGGGGGACCTGCAGGGGGGGCAAGGCCTGACCCGTACCGAATGGGTCACTGGGGTCAAATGCAGCCGAAATCTAATAGACACAACACAGAACACCACAAACTGTAATACTGAGATAAGCAAAACACAACAACACATAAATACATAAATTGGCAATTATGATGACAACGACAGTTTCATAGGACATATACATATAGGACGTTATATAAAAGGACATAGGACATATACATATAGGATGTTATATAAAAGGACATAGGACATATACATATAGGACGTTATATAAAACGTTTTGAAGTAAATGTACAAATTCTTTACAGAAATCAAAAACAAGGTAAAATACAAGGAAAATTGTCAGGACAGTTAATAACTCATATTTGTATATTAGAACAAAAACCTATATTCATAGGGCTGCAACTGTCACATTTTCACACAAATAATTTAAATATTTGAATATAAGAATAAAAGCAGAGTGAGGCATTTATTTTAATAACTGAAAGCAGATTTTTGTACTTTTTATCTTTTTGTACTAGTTCATGTACCAAAAGCAGTTATAATTCATTTTTACTTGATCATGGGTGGGGTTAAAGTGCTGTAGGCTGAATGGGCGGGGCTAAACTGCTGTAGGCTGAATGGGTGGAGCTAAACTGCTGTAGGCTGAATGGGCGGGGCTAAAGTGATTTAGGCTGTATGGGTGGGGCTAAACTACTGTAGACTGAATGGGCGGGGCTAAACTGCAGTAGGCTGTATGGGTGGGGCTAAACTGCTGTAGACTGAATGGGCGGGGCTAAAGTGCTGTAGACTGAATGGGTGGGGCTAAAGTGCTGTAGACGGGGTGGGCGGGGCTAAAGTGCTGTAGACTGAATGGGCGGGGCTAAAGTGCTGTAGGCTGTATGGGCAGATATATGTAAACTACATGTTACTACATCAAATGTTTGGTTACTACATCAAAGTCTTGCAAGGAAAACTGGATTTGTCCAACATACGGGCCCTTCTGTTTTCTGTTCTCTGTTTCGGAAATAAATTCACACACAAGGGTTAAAAAAGAAGCCGATGCTGCTGATAAAGGTTACCTTATCGACGCTGCTGTACTGCTGAGCCTCCAGACAGCCGCCCATCACAGTGTACACACTGATGTGTCCGTCAAACGAGGCGGCGGACAGGAGGGCGGGGTTTCGGGGGCACCACTGAACATCAAAGCACCACTGATTGACGGTAGGCAGCTCGTAGATCACCTGTAACAGGTAAGAAAACATTTTACACTCGCTTTCATCACACAGCGACTTTAGAGCGACAGTTCAGTGAACGACCCCCCACAGACAGAACAGAACTGCTGCACCATTTAAGGTGGAACAGAAAATACTAATCAGATGCTGCTGAACAGGAAGAGCGTCTCAAACCGCATGGAGCTGTTCAGTATCTGTAAATCTCTCTCACAGCAGGTCAACGTGGCCCATTCCTTCATTCATTCATTCATTCCTTCATTCCTTCATTCATTCACCGCTTAGTCCAGATAGGGTCACAGTAGCAGTTGGGAAAGCAGAGAACCCCAGACGACCCTGTTCTCTGCAACTTCCTCCAGCTCATTCCCGGGGACCCCCAGCCGCTCCTCATTCTTTTGGTCATCACCCACAGCTCAAGACCTCAGATGAGGTTCAGGATGTAGTCCGACCGGTAAACAGAGAGCTTTGCCTTATGGCTCAGCTCCCTCTTCACCACTACAGTCGGGTACAGCGACCTGTCCCAGGCTGCGGCCGCTGGCCATCACTTGTGAACAAGACCCTGAGATACTTAAACTCCTCCACCTGGGGCAGGTCCTCTCCCCTTATCTTTTTTCTCCATATGTGACACAGGTGTGTGTCTGTATGGCAGTGTGAACAGATAAACACACTGAATCTCACATTTTCAGTTCTGATTTCAGACGCTTTCATATGTGGCATTGAAATTCAATATGTATCTGATATGCTGCGGCGTGACTCAGCCTGAACAGCCAGACCAGAATTCATGCGACTTTTACGTCAGTCCAACTACACATTCGACACAGTTCTGCACTGCTGAGACCTCATAAACATCTGGGCTGATGTTTCTGTATAAAAAAAATAGAACACGCTCATCTAAACCGCTCCGTGTTAAAAGAAATTTTAAAAGAAATGTCCGGTAGTGGCCAGTGTCCAGTCTGACAAAGAGGCTGCAGCATCAAACAACAGTTAAAAGTCTGAAAGCAAAATTAAAAGAAAGCAATAACGTGGACCACAGAAGTGGGCGTGGCCGAATAAGGGGCCCTATTTACAGCAAGCTGAGAGGCATGTGTGAACGTAGCCTAAGGGGCTGTTTCAGCGTCTGAAGTGGACTGAGACCACTGAGTCATGTTTTCTTTTGCATATGTGAACATGCTAAACAAACTCAGACCCCTCCGAACAGCCCCAAAAACGGTCTCAGTTCGGTTCGTTTTGTGGTTCGATTGATTTGTGCATTGTGGAAACAAAACGGCCCCAGTCCGTTTTAGCAGGTAAAAACAGACCAAGGTTCATTCATAGGGTTCTACTCAGGATAAAGACTGTCCATGATCTGCGACAAGACAGCAGCCCTGACATGTTAAAGCGATAAGATGCGAGAGCCCATGTGATTTTACCGTGTTAAAGGCTCAAGCTGGGTACGCAACGCAATTTTCCACTGCTTTCACACTGAATGAATGAAAATTCACTGCTGACGTGGATTTTCGCCAGGTGGAGCTCAGTAATGAGCCCACCCAAAACGGAGCCCACCAGGGCCGACACGCAGGGTCATTTTTCCAATTTTGCATGATGCACTTCAGCCAGTCGTTTCAGCACGGCCAATGGGAGAGCAGCAGGCGAGTCTGTAGTTCCTCTCGCCACCTGAAAGGTCAGTTTTATCAGAGAACGCTGCCCACTTTGGAGTTGTAGTCTGAACAAGAAGTGGTCTGAGATCTCAAAGGACCAGAAAGAAAACAGAGTCCTCTTTATATAACAGAAAAACAGGTCATTTGCAGATGGTTACCATGCAGGCTCACTTTAACAGAACGCGGTTCGGTTCTTTTAAAACCAACTACATGTGAAAACACTGTAATAGACTTGATTATGTGGTTTTTCGCAATAATAATAATAATAACAATAACAACAACAAACCTCTCCAGTGTTGGGGTTCCAGCAGAGGATGCGGTTGTCTTTAGCACTGCTGAGGAGCAACTCTGGATCAGCCTGACTCCACGATACAGAGAGAATCCCTCTGAGACGCGCGCGCACACACACACACACACACACACACACACACACACACACACACACACACACAATCGGAACATCAGAACATTCTGAATCACAGAAAACATGATTTTCACTGTTACTGTTCAGTGATGTAGAAAAACACACCATACAGGTTTAGTTACTGTAAAGCAGCTCTGAGACTAACACTTACGCATGCACAGTATGAATGAACCCTCCCTACTAATTAACTATGCATGAAACAGAACGTCAGTCAAGAAAACTTAAATTAAGCAACTACAAAAAAGTAAAATGATTATAAACTGAATCTAATTTTTCAGGTCAGTATTTAAACTCCAGCATGTAAGACTAAAGACAGAGTTTAACACAGAGCGTAGGAGAGACAGCTTTAAAGGTGTACTTTGCATAATAAAAGTGTCCTTAGAATTTTAAAGGTGTAATGTGAGGTGTAAAGGAGTACTTTAAGTATTTAAATATGTAGTGTGGATACTGAAGGCGCAATATACATATTACACATATACTTTGAATAATAAAAGCCTATATTAAAAAGGATCATATGAATATAAAAAGGTGTGGTGCGAGTATTAAAGAAACTTTGAATATTTAAATGTGAAGCATGAATATTAAAAGTGTACTTGAATATTTAAGGTGTAGAACTTTTGAATGTTAAGTGTGCAGTTTTGCTGTTAAAGGTGTAGTTTTGCTGTTAAAGTCTAAAGTTTGGGTGTTACAGGTACAGTTTAGATATAAAAGCTGCATTCTGATTATTAAACACGTAGTTTGGGTGTTAAAGGTGTAGTTTGTACCTGGTGTGGTTCTCCAGCACTTTGAGTGGTGACGTGGCGAAGCGAAGGTCCCACATCTGTATAACAGGCAGTCGGTCGTCCTCTGAGGCCAAAATCATCTGAGTGGCCACTTCAGGGTGCCATAACATTCCTGAACAGTGCATCTACAGAGGAACACCTCACTGAACACCACTTACAGAGGAACATCATCTACAGAGGAACACCATCTACAGAGGAACACCTCACTGAACACCACTTACAGAGGAACACCATCTACAGAGGAACACCATCTACAGAGGAACACCTCACTGAACACCACTTACAGAGGAACATCATCTACAGAGGAACACCTCACTGAACACTTCAATGATTAATTAAACAGTTACATACATTTTGATGTGTGTTTACATTAAACTTCACAGATAATGCGTTGTTAGTGTTTAAACTCTATGGCTAATGAGTTCATTAGGTTTATATTAAACTCCACAGTTAATGAGTTTATTAGCGTTTATATTAAACGCCACAGTTAACAAGGTCGTTAGTGTTTACCCGGTTGCTGTGGTCGCTGATTTTGATGATGGGTTCGTTTTTCCTCAGGTCCCACACCACGGCCCTCCCGCTCGGACCTGCAGACGCCAGGATGTGCTGCACCTGTTTATTCCACGCAACCACACACACGTCCTCCACCGGCTACACACACACACACACACACACACACACACTCATTCATTACAGAAGCTCCTCTGCTGCACTGAACATGCACTCAGCAGAACCCCACAGACCTGATCAGCCGATCCCAGAGCCACTCAGTAGAGACACTACACTGTCTTATACACCAACATGGACAAAAGGACTTTCACTGTCGTGTAGAAAAGCAGAATATATTTAAAGGGAGAGTCAGAGAGTCTAACAGACATCATTTCCCCCTCAACCCCAAACAGAGCTGCTTATGTAAGCGAGGTTTGTTAGCATCATGCTAATTGGCAGGCATAGATTTACATACATAGACACCATGTTGTGTTCAGCCAGGCACGTCAACAGCGCCACCACTTTGGGACGGTCAACATCACCGCTGGGCCGTGTTCAGTACCATTACAGAGCGGCAGGTTAAGAAAGATACTGTCCAAAATTACACTATTTCAAGAATATTGTACTCAGAAAGTGGAACAGGATTATGTAACGAAGGGAACGCAGTGATCCACGCTCATGTTTGTGTGTTGTTTATTGTTTGTGTGATGTTTGTGTGGGTATGACCGTGTGGTCGGTGAAACACCGAGAACTCTCGGTTTGATTCTTTTTCTCTTTTGTTATAAATTTATATATAAATATATATACATAAAACATATTAAATTCAGTTATTCACAATGATAATTAGTAATTAGCTGAGTAATAATTGCCGGTGCGTTTCAGTTACAACTACTACTACTATTAATATTAGTAGTATAATAATTTTGTAGGTAGTTTGACCAGAGGAGGATGGGTCCCCCCTTGTGAGCCTTGGTTCCTCCCAAGGTTTCTTCCTCAGCTCTGAGGGAGTTTTTCCTTGCCACTGTCGCCCCTGGCTCGCTCACCTGGAGGATTTACATTTCATGTTAAAACTTTGTCTTTAATGGATTTCTGTGAAGCTGCTTTGTGACAACATCAGCTGTAAAAAGCGCTATACAAATAAATTTGACTTGACTTGACTTCAGTATTCCTTAATCCAGGCACTAGAAAGTAACTGCTGCACCATTTAAGGTGGAATGGGGAAATTCAAACAAGAAGATGGCGAATAGGAAGGCGACTTCAGCCTCTTCCTTCTTACTGTGCTTTGGGGGTCTATCGCATTTTCATGAGCATGAATATTAGAGGTGATTCACACTGATGTGTGTGTGATTGTGTTTCTACTGGAGCTCTGAATATGAAAACTATTACTGCTGCTAAACAGCACCATCTGTTATTAAATACAAATAAAAGATACTGAGAGCAGATCCGTGCAGCCTAGATTAAACTGTGTCTGAGGATTATAACAAAACTAATTTGGTGAAAATTGGTTGAGTAATAAAGAACCGATTTAATCCTGAGACTCATCGTCTCTCAATACAAGTGAATTTGTTTACAAGCGGATCTTGACCTCCCCAACATGGCGGACGTGCAGACGTATCGCCTCACATAGAGAACAACAGACAACGCGGAATCTAGATATGTATATCTATGATTGGTGGGCTATAAGCTTCCATTACTTGTTTGCTACATCAGCTGCGTAGCTCCAGAGCTAAAACTAAAAAAAGACCAAAGAAGTCCCTGCTGAACGACTATGTTTGGCGTCAGAAGGTGGACTTTGATTTTTTGCTGGACCGTCACTTTAAATCAGATAAACAGCCTGTTAACACAAACACATCCGTCTACAGCTGATCTGGGAGTGGAGACTGTAGAGGTTAATAAAGGGTTAATAAAGCTCCTGAAAAGCCCAACAGTGACCAAACACCACCGTGCACATTCTCCCCCTGCCCCCCCCCAAACACCCCCCAAACACCAACATCCAACACCGTGTCTTACCTCACTCAGCTGGAAACATCAACACAGACATCATTAGATACAAACTGTTAACGCTGCTCACAGAAAAACTAGCTGTGATGCTAATAAATGCTAATAAACACTAATAAAGCCACACAGTGCAATATAAACACTAATGATCAGCAAATGAAAGGACACTAAATTAATTTTACCTGTGATTTTGTGCCTGGTGTCATTGGATTACTCAAATTATTCAAATCCCAGATATAAATCTCAGAGTCGTTCGCTCCAGACGCCAACAGATTACTCTGGAAAACAGACGAGGAGATTCACATCACTAAGACAACCATTAACGAACGTTTAATAGAAGTGTTCATTAACGAGATGTTTTACACTTTGTAAAAGCAAAACATCAACAACAAATAACATTCTGGAAGATTTAATGTGGTTTCTACGGTTTAACTGTGGCAGAAAAGACGAAAAATAATATTCACAACAAACTAGTTTAGCTGAATACGTCAGCTGACGAGCAGATACGTCGACTACAGGAGAATACATACGTTAACTGATGGGTAAATTAGCTGACCAGTGGATACGTTAGTGGACCAGTGTAGGAAACCCACACCGTAAGCTGCAGCTCTGTTACCTGAAAGGGGTTGTAGTCGAGCGCCCGTACTGGGCCGGTGTGTTTGCTGGACTGCCCGATGACGGCGTCGTCTGCGCTGGACAGGATGGCCTCTGGACTGTAGACGGTCAGAGTGCCGTTCTCACCCCCTCCGATCAGCCGGCCAGACGAGCCGTCCACACCCATACCGAATGTCACCCAGATCAGACTGTGGAACCTGTAACAACACAACACTGTCACACACCTGAACACAGTCACACACCTGAACAGTCACACCTGAACAGTCACACGTGAACACAGTCACACACCTGAACAGTCACACGTGAACACAGTCACACACCTGAGCAAGTCACGCACCCGAACAACAGTCACACACCTGAACAATCACATACCTGAACAACATCGCACACCTGAGCAAGTCACGCACCTGAACAACAGCGCACACCTGTACCGTCACACACCTCAACAACAATCACATACCTGAACAACAGTCACTCACCTCAACAGTCACGCACCTGAACAACAGCGCACACCTGTACAGTCACACACCTCAGCAATCACATACCTGAACAAGTCACTCACCTCAACAGTCACGCACCTGAACAGTGCACACCTGTACACAGTCACACACCTCAACAGCGCACACCTGTACAGTCACACACCTCAACAGCGCACGCCTGTACAGTCACACTTCAACAAATCACACACCTCAACAGTGTACACCTGTACAGTCACACACCTCAACAACAGTCACACACCTCAACAAGTCATATACCTGAACAACAGTCACACACCTCAACGACAGTCACACACCTCAACAAGTCATATACCTGAACAACAGTCACATACCTCAACAACAATCACACACCTCAACAACAGTCACACACCTCAACAAATCATATACCTGAACAACAGTCACATACCTCAACAACAGTCACATACCTCAACAAGTCATATACCTGAACAACAGTGTACACCTGTACAGTCACACTTCAACAAGTCACACACCTGAACAACAGCGTACACCTCAACAAGTCACACACCTCAACAACAGTCACGGACCTGAACAAATCATATACCTGAACAACAGTCACATACCTCAACAACAATCACACACCTCAACAACAGTCACACACCTCAACAAATCATATACCTGAACAACAGTCACATACCTGAACAACAGTCACACACCTCAACAAGTCATATACCTGAACAACAGTGTACACCTGTACAGTCACACTTCAACAAGTCACACACTTCAACAACAGTCACGGACCTGAACAACAGCGCACACATGAACAGTCACACACCTCAACAACAGTCACACACATGAACAGTCACACACCTCAACAACAGTCACACACATGAACAGTCACACATCTGTACACTTTTACACATTTTCACTATATGCACAGTCACACCTGAACACAGTCACACACCTGAACAGTCACACGTGAACACAGTCACACACCTGAGCAAGTCACGCACCCGAACAACAGTCACACACCTGAACAATCACATACCTGAACAACATCGCACACCTGAGCAAGTCACGCACCTGAACAACAGCGCACACCTGTACCGTCACACACCTCAACAACAATCACATACCTGAACAACAGTCACTCACCTCAACAGTCACGCACCTGAACAACAGCGCACACCTGTACAGTCACACACCTCAGCAATCACATACCTGAACAAGTCACTCACCTCAACAGTCACGCACCTGAACAACAGCGCACACATGAACAGTCACACACCTCAACAACGGTCACACACATGAACAGTCACACACCTCAACAACAGTCACACACATGAACAGTCACACATCTGTACACTTTTACACATTTTCACTATATGCACAGTCACACCTGAACACAGTCACACACCTGAACAGTCACACATGAACACAGTCACACACCTGAGCAAGTCACGCACCCGAACAACAGTCACACACCTGAACAATCACATACCTGAACAACATCGCACACCTGAGCAAGTCACGCACCTGAACAACAGCGCACACCTGTACCGTCACACACCTCAACAACAATCACATACCTGAACAACAGTCACTCACCTCAACAGTCACGCACCTGAACAACAGCGCACACCTGTACAGTCACACACCTCAGCAATCACATACCTGAACAAGTCACTCACCTCAACAGTCACGCACCTGAACAGTGCACACCTGTACACAGTCACACACCTCAACAGCGCACACCTGTACAGTCACACACCTCAACAGCGCACACCTGTACAGTCACACTTCAACAAATCACACACCTCAACAGTGTACACCTGTACAGTCACACACCTCAACAACAGTCACACACCTCAACAAATCATATACCTGAACAACAGTCACACACCTCAACGACAGTCACACACCTCAACAAGTCATATACCTGAACAACAGTCACATACCTCAACAACAATCACACACCTCAACAACAGTCACACACCTCAACAAATCATATACCTGAACAACAGTCACATACCTCAACAACAGTCACACACCTCAACAACAGTCACACACCTCAACAAATCATATACCTGAACAACAGTCACATACCTCAACAACAGTCACAC